CATCTGCCAGGCCTTGCTTGCAGGATCCAACAAGGTCCCCGTTTGAGGCGAATATCAGAAAAATCAATTGTCAACCAGGATTTTACGGAGCCATGAGCCCTGGTAATTGGGACCAAATTTGTATGGCTCTGGGTCACAGACTCTGGTGCCCAGGGCCATTATTGGGACGTATTCTCTTGAATGCGACTCTGTCAACAGCTCACTGAGGGTGTACAGTATAGGCTTTATGCGTTTCTTACACAAATTTTTGTTTCACATGCATTGGGCGACTCCGAAAAACATAAATTGTGTACACACAAATTTCCTTGTATATGTTTGTCGTATTTTGTGCTTTGGCACGGAAATGCATGTGAACAAAAATTTGTGTAAGACAAATTTAATGCCAATTCACCCTCAGTGAGGTGTCAGCACGCCGGCGGACGGATTGCGGTACAGTACCGCCTTCACGCCCTATCCTATGATACTGACGAAGGAGCCGCCGGCTTGGGGACAAATATCGGGTGCCGGCTCCTCGTCGGAGTCGGCAACATGAGCCATGTACACGTTGGGCTGCGGGGTTGGACAGCGGCTGATACGACGGAGGGAAAGTGTGGAGGGAGGCCAGATCGAAATAGGAATGAGGTTGCCGAGGGGTGGGATGGGTTGATCGGACAGATCGCAGAGAAATATTTGAGCACATGGTATGATATAGGGTGGTATAGGTGGGTGCGGATGTGCGTTTGTGTCTGTGCACAAACAATTACATCGGGAGGGGAACGAAGAGCAAATCGGCGGTTTGTGTATGCACAAACACCTCCGACTCAATCAAAATCGGCGGATTTGCGCATACACAAAATGTGTTTTTATGTTTTTCGGAGTCGCCCATTTCCGTGCCAGCTCACAAAATACGACACACATACACAAGAGAATTTGCGTGTACACAATTTATGTTTTTCGGAGTCGCCCACTGTCCTCAACTTGTGCAACCATTTTGCACTTCGTGGTAACAGTCATTTTCTATTCAGGGAGTAACGATCAAGCATTTCTGCGACGTGTTCCTAATCCGGACTTGAAGCCACTCCAGAAATTACTGACCACGTACTTTTGGCCAGTACTCCCTTTCTATTGCAATTCTGAGAATTTGCGAATTCCTGGCCAATTCGCTTTGGACACTTTTGCCAAGAAAACAAAATGTCTTTGTGCTGTATCACCGAGAGAGGATGTCAACATCCTCTCTCGGTGATACAGCATCCCCACGACGGTTTGCAGATGTCAGCAAAACCGTCCTGGGGATCTTGCATAATAAATGATTTTCTCCTAAGTTCGCCCTTTTAAGCATGCCCATCCCGTTCTGGCCCAAAAGATAGGATACAACGCTAGACAGCCCTTCCAATCTTCTTGAACAAGTTTCGCGAGCACTAAGGTGCACAAAAAGTATGACGTAGTCCTTATCGGTTCCCTACCCACCCATCCCGAGCAGCCATTGCGTTAAAGCTTAATTTAGACTTGCCCCTTTTGAAATTGCCGCCCTGCTTTTGCTCAGCCTTTTTCTTACTGCCTGTGTCTGCATCACTTATCTCCCTCAATTGTGCATTGCTATCAGAGGACGAATCATCGGCTCTTGCCTTCTTCCCAAGCTTTCCCGTCGGCTTCCCTTTAGCCTTCAGGTCCCGCCATCTTTGTTTGACTTTGGGTTTCTTCTTATCATCACGTTTCCCGTTCCTGTCCATGCTGGTTTTGCCTTTGGCCTTTTTCTTCGGTCTACTTGTGCGGTTTGCTGGCTTTGCGACAACGTTCGTCTTCGAGACATCCGAGGCATCCGAGGCATCCGAGGCATCCGAGGCTTCTATTTGGCGCACCAAATCCATGATTGATCTCTCATCTATCACTTCGCTGGAAGAGAACTTTTCGTCACCAAATCTTGAATCCAACGTGTTAGTGCTTTGGCGACCAGCTACTATACCTTCAACTCTTTGCTGCTCTCCTCGGATCTCCATCTGCTTCCGTTTATCGGTATTTTCCCCATGTCGTCGCCGACTTGCCACTGGGCCGTAGTCTCCGCCACGAGGCTCCATCCGTGTGATTGACACACCAAGCTCTTTTTCCAGTCGGCGCATCACAAAGGCCGTCTCTGCTGTCGTAATACTAACCACTGTGCCCACGTTTCTAACACGTCCACATCGCCCAGCTCTGTGCACGTAGTGATCACCATCGGTGGGCAGATCTAGATTGAAAACATGTGATATCTCGGGGATATCTAGTCCTCTTGCCGCTACTTCTGTTGTGACCAATAAGTTAATTCTTCCCTTGCGAAACGCGGTGAGCACCTCCGCCCTCTCCAATTTGTGGGCATTTCCACGCAATGCCCCTGCAACAATCTTCATTTGATAGAGGCGGTCCACAACAATGTCAACGCGACGAGGGTCATCGACAAACGCAATTGCCCTGGTGGGTACAGGGTTGGTGTGCATGAGCTTTCGAACAAGTTCTACACGCATTCGAGCCGGTACCACACAGAACCAGTGTGAAATCTGTCTTGGCAAGCGCTGCGCTCCTCCTACACGCAGCAAGACAGGCTTGTGAAGATATTTGCCAGCAAAAGAGCGCACCGAGTCCACATCTGACGTCGCAGATACCAAAACCTTCTGCGTTCGTCGCATCATAGTCTTGAGCAAGTAAATTACATCTTCTCCCATCCCAGCTTGAACGCATTGGTCAACCTCGTCAACAACAAACATGCCCACATTTCTAACACGCAGTTCGCGATTTTCCTCGAGTTCTGCAATCCTTCCTGGGGTCCCAACAACAATGTGGGGTTGACATTTTCTAAGCTTATCAACTTGTCGCACGGGGTTCGCGCCTCCGATAAGAGCTATAGAGCGAATACCGGTGCCTTCACATAGTCGTTCACATTCGTGAAAGATCTGCATCCCAAGCTCTCGAGTTGGGGCTACAATAACACCCTGCACGTATGGGGATTCAGTCTCAATCTCATCCAGCAACGGCAATAAGAACGCGAGTGTCTTTCCAGTGCCCGTGTGGCTCTGTATCACAACATCCCTCTTGTCCAGGACGCGGGGAATAGCAGAAAGCTGCACGTGAGTGGCCGTTTCGATGTTCAAGCCCTCCTTAAGGTTTTTCAATATCTGTTCTGACTCCACTAGAGCGTCAAGGCCCACGCCACAGAACAACTCGTTGTTGTCCTCATCATCTTCGAGCACACCACCATCGTCAATGTTCACGTCCACAACCTGGTCGTAGCTCGCAACAGCGAGCACCTCACGCCCCATTCCGTCTAATGTTGCAAGGTCGAAGACGCTATCTTCGCTGGGGATCTCATGCGATGGGCGCACCTTGTCGTAAGAGCCCGTATCGGCTTTTGCACTTGTCTCAGATATGGAGAACCACCCATCATCCGCTTCTGGAGTATCGATTACCATATTCTGACGTGCCATTGCCTCATCAGCCGACTGAAGTCCCTGGTGTGGTCCAGGAGCTTCATTTACCCCCAAATTGTCTAAGGGACCTGGCTGCCGACTTTGTAACTCAGAGTCAGATAGTTGCATTCGGGTAGCGTATGCATTTCTTTTCATACACTTCGCCGGCAATAGACAAATAGGAGTTGAAATTCTTCGAAGACCACCTGTACACAAACATGCGGCCCGACCTGGTATGAAGCACACCACTTCCGCGTTGCAAGTCATGCAGTTGGGTATCTGTTAACCACAGTTCCGAAATATTCGAACTGGCGAAGCTATCGAATCCTTCGAGGATTCCACGGGTGGTATTCTTTGAAGGAAATGACTCTACTGCTATTCGCGCCGCGTTTGTCCTCCCGTGGGCCTGCAGGGAGCTGGTCGGGTGACGGCGGTGCACAATCTCGCGCGGCTCAAAGGATCACAGTGATAGGGACGAAAAAATATTTCAAAATCTATCTATTTTATGCGTCAGGGGTAAAGCGTGAGACTCCCATTAGTGCCACATTTACTAATGCCACCCTCCCAATAATGCCGGCCAGGCCTACGAACACGAAAAGTGCCACGTGTCAAACGGGTCCGGGTGTTATGCTGCCGTCCGTCCGTCCATCACGCGTGAAAGCATGCGAAAGCGGCTTCTAAGCCCGATTCTATTCACCGAACAGCGTTCACAGACCTCACCTTGTCCTCCTTATGGATCTGGTTCTGGAAATAATAAAAGCAACGCGCAAGCGCGCCTGACAATAGCAGAGAAACTAGACATTGCAGATCTGCTCGACAAAGGACACTGTGCCGAAGCAACTGAGCGGCAGTTCAGCATCGCAGGGCGCACCGTGCGAAACATCAGAGCTACTGCTCCCACATTTTCTCCGCGTAGCCAACAAGAAGCCAAACATCACCGCATCTAAAGACCCTTCAGGCCGTGGGAGTTTTGGGGACTGAATGCCAAGTTTCAGACGCTCTATCGTATTTGAGGTCGGCAAAGCGCGCGTTTCTCACTGCAAAACAACGACAGAGATCCAACGCGGAGCAGGCAGACGATAATTAACCGAGTGCATCAAAATAGATGTGACGACGTCACCTATTAATGCCGTCTCCCAATAGTGCCAGTTTTGGGGTCTCGCACGGGGCGGCACTAATGGGTAGGGGCCACTGTAGGGTGATTTGGCCTCAGCAGTCAAATCGTGCTCTGTGGCACAAGGAGCGTGCCACGTCCCTCGGCCCCTTCTTGGGGCGTGACCCCCTGCCAGCTGTTGTTCCCGTAAATAATTCTGTTGCATTTCGTCTTGTGAACCCTTGTTTTTGCGGATGAAACACAACGACGTCATGGATAGCAAGGGTAGCCACGCAGGTGGTATGACACGCCGTGTACGCAATTCGTCATGATCAGATCACTAATTCGAATTGGACCAACCGCCGCCTCCGGCGCCGTATAGAGCACAGGTATTTGAGATCTGTGCCTGCCGGAGCAGTGCGGCTCCTACGGTATGCCTTTCTCTTTCCAAGAGAGTCCCCAGTACATCCTGGTGATAGGCGACTTTCTAGTACGGTCAAAAGAAATCGACTAAGCGCGACCTATATCGCGCCCACATTTTTGAACTAAACAGGTATGACATCCGTGTCAGACTTTGCTACTAGTTGGAAGAAGATGGAGCAATTGTTGTCGAAGGCCAAGCTCATGGCTAAAGGAAAGACGCTCGACGAAGCTGGGATATATTCCGACTGGCTCCTGGCCTACGGCGCAGTAGCCCGCCGGTTCAGGGATGATCGCGGGATGAGGCTTACCCGCTGTCCATACGAACAGGGCGACTCAGTTTCGGCCTTCACAAAAGGGTTTTTCGAGCACCTTGAATGGCCTCCCCGCAAGCCACTCAAGATACATTCAAGCATGAGTGCCGTTTATGAGTGTGAATCAAACTACATAAACGCATCTAGATACTGGAGGTCGTTTCATCAGGCCGCTATTTGCCTCCGTCAGGAGGCCATCGAGGACATGAACGAATACAACGCCCTTCTGTTTGACGTTTGGTCCCTGATAGCAGTTCGATATGGTCTTCGTGTCGTAGGCCTGCGTACGGAATTCTACAGGATGGCAGCCAGCGATACTTTACACGCTAAGCTTATTATGCCAACATTGGAGGAACGGGGCGAGGTCCCGACAGCAGATGGTCTCAACGCGTCCCTCGAGAAGTTAGACAGTCACATGGCAACTCAGTTAATGAAAGCGCTGGCCACCCTCAGTACAAGCAACGCGACGAAGCGTGCCAGAAAGGGTGCCAACGGAGACATGTGAACGCAATCGTCCAGAGGCGCCCTTTTTGGCTAGCAACTCAGCAACGAGTCCAAGCAAGGCGCCAGAGGGGTGGTTCGGAATTTATTTGCCGTGCCATTCAGTTCGGAATATACGAGAAGCCGTCTGTCCCCTTCACAGGGACGGGGGAAGAGCTGGGAGATATTCCTCAAACGGACGAGTGCCTGTTGTTTGCGAAATTGGACCGGGAGGAAGGATGACGGAGTGAAATCTACCACAAGATATCTCCAGAAGTAGCACAACGGTCGACAAGACGGGGTGCCGTGATCTCGTCAGCCTTTGTGGTATGACAGGAGGGTGCCAAGGGCAGAAAAGGGAGGTTCGTTCTCAACCTGAGCCTTCAGTCGAAGCATTGGAGAAAAGGAACAGTCAGAATGGAATGTCTCTCCCAGCTGGCGATGGAGATTCAGGAAGAGGACCAGTTCTTGTCAATGGACATACAGAAGGAATATCGACACTTCCGACTCCACCCACAGATGCGGGAGTGGGTCATTTTCCGCTTCGAAGGCCGCTATTATCAATGTGTCGCTCTTCCATTTGGGTGGGGGCCGATTGCCATGGCGGTTCACTCAGTTAATGGTTCCTTTTCTTACAGAGTTGCACAGCCTGGGGTACAGAGTGTTAGCCTACCTCGACGATTTTCTCATCTTTCCGTCCCCTTTTAGCGTGGCCGCCCGAGAACGTCATTGCATGGCTGCAAAACGAGGTATCGACTAACTGATGTCGCAGCTCGGACTGAAACGGCATCGAAGCAAAGGAGAATGGGTAGGCTCGATCTCCATCGAGCACCTTGGTGAGCACATCGACAGTGTGCACATAAAGTTTTTTGTGGCCCGGAGGAAGGCTGCGAAAGTGCGGCGATTGGCCGCCAGCTTTTGCGAAGCGTCCGACATGGGAAGCGGTGGGTTGCCAAACGGAAGTGGACGCACTTCTGCGGTTTGTGCGTCTCTCTCACATTAGCAATGCCGTGGGCAAGGTTTTACACACGTGCTTTATACTGGGACACGTCTTCCGGGCGTGGTCTAGACCATCGGGGCCGTGTGCGTCTCAGTCATCAGAGCATTCGAGATCTGCTTACCTAGAAACGCCTGTCTCGCAAAGAGCTGCTCGAGAGCATTGATGCGCACTTTTGTACCGACCGCCTCGATGCACACAGACGCCGCGGATGTCGGCTTTGGGGGCACGTTGAACAAGCAAGACCTGTCCGCAGCGATCGACGGACAGTGGCAAGATCAGAGTGTTTAGACTAATGGTAGGTCAGCAGGGCGAAGGGGATTCGAAGGACGGTTAATGAGATGATGTTGAAGAGTTTGATGCCAATTTACTTCAAGTCGCCAACTTTTGGCACTACTTATACACTTCGGTTAAACATCTAGAACTCTACGACTAAACACTACGACACACATGCTACAAATGTATTGGCTCTAACAAATGTGCCCGTCTTGCTATCTAGCCAGCCTGACGATGGCCCAGCAAACAGCACAAAAGCCGCCTTACGAATTACCACCGTCATGACGGAGGAATTAGTAAGGCAGTACAACAAAGCACAGCAAAGCACAAATTCCCTTACTCGTCCAAATCCAGCGTGGCACAAATTCGTAAGGCACGTTTACAGCTCACACGTTGCCTTATGAATTCAAATCAATCCTGCAAGGACTGTTTACAGGGCACACGTTACCTTACGAATCTGAATCTCTCGTGAGGTCCTGTCCACTGTCATTTACAACAGCGCACATTTTGCCTCACGAATTCAAAACTCGCGGAACGGTATCTTAGTGTCCTGCTGTACCCGTGCTGCGCTTCACGGACGCTGTAAACCTTTGGCACGTGCCAGGCATCCGCCACCCAGGTTCTCCACTTTGTTTTTAAGACTACAGGCGTACTGTACGCATTCGACAGTGTAATGAGGCCATGTGTCCAGGTCATACAGGTGTCGGGCGGAGAAAATGAAACATGGTCAGAGTGTACTGTAGAGTGCAGCCGTGTACAGATTTCACAAGTGTACACGTTGAGAGCCAAACTTGCTCCTGAAGTACTGTAGAGAGCAACCATGTACAGAAATGACACGTGTATACGTTGAAACCCCAACCTGTTCCGTTCGTCATACGTAGTGTTTTTGTGTTTACACGTGTCATACTTGTCATTGTGTGTCATCCGTGTCAGCATGTGGTCGTAGAATTACAACATGGACCTGGAAAGACCGCGCGGAGAGCATCTCGTACCGAGAGTTGAAGGCCATTTGGAAACTGCTGACACGGCGTATCGGGTCGGAACTCGTTAGTCAAAGTGGCAAGCATCTATTGCTCCATGTCGACAATATGGCCGTCGTCTATATTACAAACGCCATGGTGTCAGAGAGTTGCGCATGATGCACGAGCTGCGCCGTCTGAAGTGTGTCCTCGATCGATTTCGTATAATCACCCCCAACGACGAGGGGGGTGAGTACTGACAGTTCGGAAAGACCCCGATCGGCAGGAAGATAGAAGCACGGCCCACCCACGGTACCGAGCACGGGCTCGATGTAGCGGTGGTAGAGCGGGATCGGGGAGGACGTGCGCACGCGCGAGCGGTTCTACGCCTCGACGCCCCGGACGGTACTGGGTGACGATCCAGTACCGACGGGCGGAGGCGGAGCCGGCTCGTGGGCGTGCTGCGCGCGTCCTCAACCCGCGCGCGGTGCTACTCCTAGCTAAAACGGACGGAAGTACCTAAAAGTATGCGGGCGGACCAAGGTGGAGGATCCTTGACAAGTCCGTGCTTGTCGTCCTCCACCGCCGGTGGTCCGCTCATATTTAATATACAGAGTAACCTATCATAATATTACAGTAGTGCAGGTCGGCCTGCACTGTAGCGCTGTCAGCCGTCGGGGCTGGCAGCACACGTGTCATACACGTATGTCTGCGCGCCCCCTTACACG